CCACTACGCCACTGGGCCAGCCCCTCACTCCAGATTTTTATAGATTTTGATGGAAAGATTCCTTGGGGTTGAAACTTTACAGAGAAAGCACCCCTGGAAGAGAATGGCCTGCATCATTTTGAAAAAATTTCATTATTTCATGGAACAAGGTCTAGTCTGCAGTGTGCTAGCATTACCTAAAAGATGTCCCAGCCTATGCTTGTCACCTTTTGTCAGCAAGAGATCATTAAGATAAAGGATTTTTTAAAAAAATTTCTATGGGCTCAATATTTTCCTTCCTGAACAGTCTCAAAGTGAACTGAGAGATTAAAAATAGTCCATAATTTATTATTACTATTCTTAATTAAGACATTATAGTCACATAATATTCCCGGAGTTGCATTTCCGGAGCATCTTTCACCCAAGAATTTCAATGTTCTTTCCAAAGTTAACATTTTTCTGCTGGATAAAAATGAAATGGAAATGTCCAAACCAGGAAGGGGGGGCATTAAATCAGTACCCTCTAAAAAGTCTTTTCCGAGCCTAACTTTCTATCATATGCAGCTCTGTGATCTTGGACAAGTCACTTTCCCTTTCTGAATCTCAGCTTCATAATTTGTAAAAATGGGAGATCAGATTCCTTCCAGCTTTAACGTCCTAATTTTGCTGGAAAATGTGTGGCACAGCCAATATTCCATTCTTCTTTGAAGGCGGCCTTTGCTATTTAATGACAGTAGATCTTGGCATCTGCATATTTGACATCTGCAGCTTTCTCTTCCCAGAGACCCCAAAGGTCCATGGGCTGCAATAATCTGCTATTTTGCAGAGATGTGCCATGAGCCTGGGTTACAGGAGCCAGTCACGAGTTTAGTGACTGACATTACCATGCTGGCAGCACCCATATCTCTGTGAGGTTTTGTTAACATCTGCAGCAGCCTCAAAGGCCATAATTCTCATCGTGTCCTGTAAGCGGTAGTCACAAAGCAGAGGATTCTCCTAGAGCATGAAGATGTCAATAGCATCCCTCTCGAACGTCAAAAGAGTTTATCGTAACGTGGGTTTAAAGTAATCATGTACCTACCCCCACCCACTTCATCTACTTCACTACTACATCCTTACCAAAGGTTACTTAAAAAACTTCAGTGGCATCACAGACACAGCAAAGAGCTTTCAAACCTCTTTTATTGAACTTATCTCAGCCATACCACTTCTCCCATGTGTTTTGATTTGTCTGCATATGTTGTATTCTTTCCTCTGGAGAATAAGATCCTTGAGAGCTAAAATGACAGCTTGTCTCACTCATTTCTTTATCTCCAGTACCTAGTAACGTACCTAGTAGGTAGCAGGTACTTAATAAATGTTTGTTGAATGACTGACCATCTTCTATGAGCAGGCACTGTGTTAAAGGTGCATTTGCTTCATATTTGTGTAGTACTTATCACATCCCTGCAGGATAGATATCATTATTCCTATCATTCTAAGAAAATATCTGGGACTCAGGAGAAGTGACTTTGTTCAAAGTTACACAGCTGGTGAGTGATGGATTCACATCTGTCTGTCAGACTCCGAAGTTCATGTTTTTCTATACTACCTTGGTGCTAAGCACACCTTTGAAGAAGTCAAGCATAAATCCAAAAGAGCAAATTCAAGGACCCAATATTATTGATAGAGCATAGGCCTGGCTTCAACCTGATTTGATTTAGAGGAATACAGTGAGAGCAGAATTTACAACACACCAGGCTTGGTAGGTAAATGAAGCTACTCAGAGAGAATGATTAGAAAGCAGAACTGTTCTAGGCATCACACAAGGTTTCGATTTCAGTTTCCAGATTAGTATGGTAATTAGCAGGGTCTTAGGGTAAGAGCTGGGTTCTAGCTAAGTTGGAGTTGAAATTTGGAACTGGAAAGCCAGCATTCATGATTCACTTAAGCAAGTCATTTGAAAAGCCACTTTCCTTCCCAGGTCTCATGGTTTGTCAAGAGCTTGAGAGCCTTTCAACTCTAGGTTGGGACCAGGTCCTGAAGTTGGACCTGATCCTGGGACCAGGAGCTTATTCAAAATGCAGAATCTCAAGCCCGACTCTAGACCTTCTGAATCATAATCTGTATTTTATCAAAATCCCTGGATGGTTTATAGCACACTAAAGTTCGAGACACACTACTCTAGAAGACAGCCTAAAGTCATTTCTCGCTCCAATGTTTTATGAGTTTAGGCTAGAAGTCTTCATGGTAAGCAAAAAACATGCTGGTTATTAATAAATTAATAAAACCTTATTAATTAGGGTCTCATAGAAATTCCAGTAACCTGGTCACCTCAACCATGTCTTCGGAAGAATATTGTTAATTCTTCGATAGTCCTATTAATGGCCTCATTTACTAAGCACATACCATGTACAAAGAACATTGTGCACAACATCTTGAATCATCATAATAGCCCCGCAAGAGAGATGTTATTATCCCCATTTTACCAATGAGGAAGTAATCTCTTAAGTTAATAAAATTTCCCCAAACTACATGGTTAAATCAGTAGTCGAGCCAGAATCCTAACCCAGAGTACTTAGAGCCCTGCTACATCATACTGCTTCCAGGGGTGAAATCACAATTAAAATAGCAAGTGTAGGGCTGGGATGCGAGGAGAGACTAGCAGGTTTTCGACTCATTCTTCTGCGATGAAGAAGAACAAAAGGGTAGTCTAAAGTCCACTGAAATCTAAAAAATAATGCAAAAGAATAGATGGAAATATATACGTGTTCAGCAAACCCTAGAATACCTGGACCAGAATCTCAAACTTGTGGAAGTTGATATACGTTTAGAACCAATATCACCCACAAGTGATAATTCGGGAGGCTCATTTACACCAAGATAATATACAAGTTGAAAATGCAAATGGGTTTGAGAAAGGTTTAGTCAAATTCAGAGATCCTAGGTACACAACTGATTATTAATGGGATGAAGAAATTGGGACGAAAGCCTCTAATTTCTCAAAGACTACCCTTCAGTGCCTCTGAGAGACAGGTACTGAATCAGAGGAACCATGAGTCTGTCAAATTAATGTTATGTCATAGCACATTAAAATTTGAGAAATGCTACTCTAGCAGATATCCTAAGGTCATTTCTGGCTCCAACATTTTATGAGTTTAGGCTAGAAATCTTCATGGTAAGCAAAAACTAGCATGTCATTTAATGCCTGACACTAACCAACACGACCACAAACATACGTGAAATTTCACAGAGTTTGTCTTCCCAGTAAGGGCCTGTCCTTCATTGATATGTACAGATACTCTCCCCAGAGCACATATAAATGGATAGTATTCTCTGGAAGGCACAGGTTTTTACTTATGCTAACAAATGGTTATCCTTCCCAGAAAAATGATTAAACAGAGCTCCAATAAATCAATTTGTCAATGGCTATTACACTTCAGGAGACAATATCCTCTGTTTCCATCTTTGGCTAGTGCAAATATGACCTACATTGAGGGCCTATGTCTATCATTCAGAAAATCCTAGAGCTTGGAGGAACTGCAAAAAGATCCAACCTTGCCTCTAGGCAAGGAAAATATTGTTATTCCCACTTTACCGATGAGGCAGTTTAGTTCTTGAGCTAAGACTAAATGACTTGCCCAAAGTCACATTATTAGGAAGGGATTGAGGAAGGACAAGAGCAGAGTCCCGTGTATGACTCACTAAGCTCTGTTGTCAACAGAACCCAACCCCTTTTGAGCTCTGTCCATGGCTAATCTTGGAAGAAGCACTTGTCACAACTCTCCCTCAGTTCTATGGACCCCCTTTTCCATGAGTTCCTTCCTTCACTCTTCTAGAAGTTGTATGTTTTCATCTCCCACTGCAAGTGTTTTGAGCATGCTCCTGGGAGTAGTTTGACACCCCACCCCCATTCCTATACACCCCTGTTGTTCTCCACACCTTCTCCTGCTACTGCTTATTGCTTGTGGACATGAGCAGGAATTCAGAGACAAGGTTCCCCTTTCTCATTCCCATCCTTCTTGGCCACCCTGGACAGTCTGCCCTCTCATAAGCTGCAAATCCTGGGGAAAGTCCTTCTGCTTTCTTCTCCAAAGCTATCCATCTGAGAAAAGGAGAGAACATCCAGTACAAGAAGACTCAACGGGGAGAGTCCCTAGAATGATAAAGGTAATAGAAAGGCAATACCCACAGTGTCTAAAGGACTAAATGAGGCAGCGACCTGAGAAGTATTTAAGGAAAATTCTGGACTGTGAAAAGAGATGACCATACAGAAGATGTATTTCCTCCCACAATTCCTAAGAGGCTTCTCCTTCCCTGCTTAGCCAGATTTTGGAGATTAGCCCTGTGACTAAAGAGAGGTGGCTGCTGCTCTGGGAGCTCTGCTTCTCCAAGATACTTCCAGTACCCAAGCCATAGTCACATATCTCACCTTAACTGGGCAAGCCTTGAACCATAAAATAGCCTATGGGCATTTAAAGAGAGTGCCAAGTTTCAATCAATTTTTCAATTTCCAAATTGAAAAAGAGGTGCCTGAAATCTGGTTATACAATACAACCGCAATATGGTACTGGGAACAAAAGCCAATGCCACTTGCTTTCTCGAGGATGTCCTGATTGGGTTATCACTCTCTCAGAATGGAAAGGATTGGCTTCAAAGCTCATATAAGCCCAGGGCATGAGGAGAGGAGGGAGGAGTGACTCAAGCAGTCTCCAAGCTCTTGCTTAGTCACAAGAATTCTCCAAAATCTCATATCAAAACTTCTGTCACCCTGCACCTCCACCAGCCATCATTTTGAGTCTCAGTGGACAAAATGTTCTAGGTCCTGAGATCCTGCCACAGGATTCCTTGCCCAGAAACAATTTAAAGTGAGAAAATTGAAGGAGAGTTTGGAAGCAGAATCTGCCAGTAGTGTCTGCTGATCCTGCATACCTGTGATGGAACCAAAGTTTAACATTAACACAAACATAAGGAAAAGTTTTAAAGAGTGGTACCGAAGGATAGAAGGGATGGAGGGGATAGACTGTGGAAAGGTTACTTACACAGTTTCATCATTCTTGAACTCCAAGTCCCCATATGTGTCTTCAAAATCCTCACCACCACCCTTGGCTGTCCCTTCTACTGTCCTAAAGGGGACGATGACTGTGCCCCGGGCACCTGATGTCCGCAGAACCTTGACCTCCATGACACCAATGCTCTCACTGACATGAATAGTGTCACATTCAAAAGTGAAGATGCCTGCATGGTCATCATCCAAGATAGTGACTGTGGCCACACAAGGGGACACCAGGACAGCCCGAGGCAAGGGAAGACTATTGAGTACTGCTGGAGGCATCCCCTCCTCGGGCTGCTCCTCCTCCATGCGGACATTGCTCAACCTCACAAAGAAGTGTTCATCCTCTTCAAAAATGTCATCATCAATGATGCCCACAGAGAACTCCTTCTGGGTCTCTCCTGGCTTCAGAACCACAGTGCCCTCCGTGAACTCATAGTCAGCCCCAGCATTGGCAGAACCATCCTCTGTTTTGTAGTCCACATACATGGTCTTGGACGTGTCCCCCCCTTTCCTCACCACTGTCAGGAGTACAGCCCCACAGTTCTCCAGGCACTGATAAGAGCACGGATCAAAGAAGACCTTGGAAACAAAGTCCTCAGGCTCATCGGTGTGCACCTCGCTCATGCTGGAGGCCTTTTTGGCTTGTTCTGCTGCATGTTTCTTGAGGATGTTGCCTGCGCCAGTCATCATACGGGTGGCTTGGATCCGGTAGAAGGCACGGCTCTTCTGTTGATGGGAAAGAGCATAGTAATTGGCCATCTCTACCAGCTGATCTAAGTCCTTTTCTGGGTATTTTTGCTTCAGATCCTTTAGAATCCGGATCATCTCCCTGCGGGACTCATCCACCTCCTTCCCTTCCATGGGCACCAGGTTCCCATCCAGGAAGTGGGAATTCATCATTTTACCATCCATCTCGATGCCCTTGGGGTGGTCACCCTCTGTCTCTATGATAATTCCTCGGTGTTTATCTGTGCGGTACTTTTTGTGCATGTATTTGTAGAAGAGCAGTCGCTTATCTGCCACCCAGGCCAGAAGGACACACACTGGAAAGAAGAAGAGAGTGAGGAGGCCTTCCCAAACCTGGACCACACCAGGAGAGAAGACTGCCAGGATCATATAGAGCCAGATGTAGGCAAAGATGCTCCAAGCAGCAGTGACAAAGAAGACTCGTAGGTGCTTGATCTTGCGAGTCTCTCCATCGGGGATCACATAGACGCAGATGCCAATGATGATGAACATGTTGAAGGCTGCACTACCTACAATGGTGGAAGGTCCCAGATCACCAGCAATGAACCCATGACCACACACCTCAATTAAAGAGAGGAGGATCTCAGGAGCAGAGGAACCCAGGGCCATAAGGGTCAGGTTGGAGACAGTTTCGTTCCAAACCCGAATCGTGGTTGTGCTGGTCTCTCCATTGGGCTTTTTGATAGTCACCTCTCTCTCTTGAGAAGTGATGACTTCAATAGATGCCATGAAGCGGTCAGCAATGATGGACACCCCAAGGAACATGTATATCAGGGCCACAAAGTAGACAATGACCCTGGCAATCTTGTCCCCAAGGGAAGGGTTCTCTGGGTACCAGATTGGTAGGATGACACCCTCTTTGCAGTCCGATGACCCTGAACAGGACTCATTGTTCTGCCCTGTGCTGGGCACATCCCCTGAGCCACCAGCCTCTGCCCGAAGACCATTCAAGAAGAGCACAAAAGTAATCAGCCCAAAATGGAGGAAGGCAGAGGTGAGAGGCTGTAACCTTAACCACGCCATGCACGAGACTTAGCCCCCGGCTTCCACTGCAGCACCAATGGTCCTCCTGACAGGCCAGAGACCTAGAAAAGACCAGAGAGGAAGGAAAAGGCATGAGGAAAACGGGGACAGCAAATGGCAGGTTCCCACCAATACAAACTGATGTTTCACCTCGAGTGACATATTATACTAACATATGGGGCGGTCTCTCACTTGGAAAAATAGATGTCAATGGGAGGCATGAATAGCTGCTCTGTCCTCAGGACCATCTGGTGGAGACTGAGTTGAAACATAGCTTAAAATAGCTGGGAATATTGGTAATGGAAACATAAGTGATACCCTTCTAGTCCTGTCTCCTAATCCCACTATCTGTGAGAGTTCTCAAGAATCAACTTAACATAGGCCAAGTATGACATGAATCTTCATCACTACTTATACTGTTCCTAGGGTTTTCAGCCTTCTTTACCCCACTGTCATCATACTCAAGAATCTTGCATAAGACAGGTTTGCAAGAGTGCATACTGAATTGAACTTTTATCATGGGCTAATCCCCCAAAATAGAACACCTTGCTTCGTGTGCAATTGAGCCCGCTTAGGAAAAATTCCTTCCCAAAATGCAACACTGAAGGCAAGCTGTAATTTTGAGATTGCTTGGGAAGTCATGAGAGTTGATTCTTTAGTGAATGCTACCTGCAGGGTGGCTAAACTGAGGCTCTGTAAGCTGTGCCCAAGACCCAGTCCATGGCAGCCCTTAGCGCTGCAGCAAAACATGCTTATGAAACAGTTTAGGCATCCAGTTACAGGAAGATGAAGATCGTTAGCTGCTCAAATTTCAAACCCAAACACTGAAAGGGCCAAGTGGTAGAAATCACTATTAATAACCATGCAAGTTGTTCTCAGAATTTTTTTTAAACTGTAGACAAGATTTGGGGGTGAAATGCAGCCTCATCTGCTAGCCTCAAACCACTAAAAGGTGAGCACAAATTCAGAAGAATAGGAAGAAACTCAACTGTAATTAACAGACTCATCTTTCTATTCATTGCCTCATTCAGATGAAATGAAAATGTAAACAACCAAGCAATAGCTGGGGAAAAAAAAGCTACTTGCCCATTTTTCCACCTCTGCTACAACCATGTGAGGTGCTTTTAGTAACAGAGGAATGCTGATTTGCATCTGTACAAGAGTTACAGGATTTAAAGTCCTGGTCCTCCATATCTGTTCTTCCTTCTCCACTATTTCCCATCTCAGAAAACAGCACTCCATCTACACAGTTCCTCAAGTTAGAAAATGGGTGTTAGTCTGCCAGCCTTCCTCTCCCTCCTGTTCCTTATCTAAGCCAGCCCTAAATCCTATCAACTCTCCCTCCGTCTCTACCACCACCATCATAGCCCAAGCCACCACGACTCCACACCTGATGAATCTACTGCAGTAACCTCCTAACTAAACTTGCCCCTTCAACTCTTGCTGTTCTCTTTTCTATTTCCTCACAGAGACACAGTCATCTTTTTTTTAAAAACCCAAACCTACGCTATCACTTCCCTAGTTGAAGCTCTTAATATAAAGATGAGAACGCTTACTATGACCTACAAAGCCTCGCCTTCATCCTCCTCTTCCCCCTTCATCTCCTACCACTCTCTCTCTTACTACATTTCAGCAACAATGGCCTTCATATCAGGTCCTGGATGACCCCAGGTCATTTTCCACCTCTGGAGCTTTGCACATGACATCATCCATGCATGCCTGAAACGCCTGTTTCTTCTTCGTATCCCCACTGTTAACAAGGCTTTAGATCTCAGCTTAAGTATCACTTTCTCAGAAAAACTTTCCCTCACCCCTAAAAATGGTCCACTCCCTTTGTTACGTTCTCTTAACAGACTCTTTACTTTTCCTTCATGGCATTTATAAAACTTTGAAATTACATGTGTATTTATAAGATTATATGATTAACGTCTAACCCATCCATTAAACTATGAATGACATACAGGCACAGACTATGTCTATTCTGTTTATCATGGCGTCCTAAGTAGTCAGTTAGTAGGTGCTCATTAAATGTATGTTTTTGGAATAAGGAAGCTTCCTCAGTGCTATGGACTGAACTGCGTGTCCCCAAAATTCTTATGTTGAAGCTGTTGAAGCTCGAAGCCCCAGTGTGACTGTATGGGGAGATAGGGCTCTTAGGGGGTAATTAAGGTTTAATGAAGTCATAAGGGTAGTGTCCTAATCTGATAGGATCGGTGGCCTCATAAGAAGAGGAAGAGAAAGAGAGATCTCTCTCCACCTGTGAGGACACAGCAGAAAAACAGCCATCTGCAAGCTAGGAAGAGAGCTCTCAATGGAAACCAAATTAGCCAGCACCTTGATCTTAGACATCCCAGCCTCCAGAACTGTGAGAAATAAATTTCTATTGTTTAAGCCACTCAGTCTCTGGTGTTTTGTTACGGCAGCCTGAGCAGACTAATACACTCAGACATCGGCCTTCTTTAAAGCCATATTATGATCTGAATTATAGACTTTTGTTTTGGGAAAAAAAATACATAGATCTCATAGACAAATCCTGATTAGATTTTTAGAGGCTATGTAGGATCTCTTTAAATTCCCAAGGCTTGTACTCAAAGAGAAATTCCCTTTGGGACACGTTATGCCCTGGTGTGTACTGTAATCACGAAGGCCTTCCTCCCAAAGGGTTCTGTGGATTAACTTGGTTTCATATTCCCCAGAATGGCAGCCAAGTGCTGAGGTCCACACCCCTTTTTCATCCAACTGCTGGGGGTCATCACAGCAAGTGCTTGGGGCTTTGGCCTCCCTCAGAACAGAAACGGTTACAGGGTTGACTGTGGAAGAGCAGGGTGGTGCAGATGTCCAGCATCTATTCGCAAAGGCTGGAAAAGCTCTCATAGTCTGTGATGTACACAGTGACCCCATTCACAGGTTTGGCATTCACCCACCCTGGAGAAATGTAGACAGAGAAGGATCTTGGCATTTTGCCTTGACCTCTGAAAACTCGACACGTTGTGGATTCTGATAAGCCTCATGCAGGAGGAGACAGAATGTGGGCACAGCTGGAGCAGCTCTTTGATCAAGAGCCAACATGGTGACAAGAGGTGTCAGCTGTGTGGGCTAGCCAACCCCAAAGGGGTGAGCTATCCACGGGTTAGCGAAGAGAGCTGGCCTTGTGCAGTCAAAGAACATGGAATATTGCGGTGGCAGAGTTATCCTGATTAATGGGGGACAAGGACTCCTACTTATTTTACCCACCAGGAGAATCAAGGAGGATCATGGTCTTTGTTCTCCTCAGTCTCGCCAACACTTGTGGCAACATGTTTTTATGGGGAATCTGCTACCACATGGTCAGAATCAGAGGCCAGTTTAGAAAGACTGTTCCCTTAGAAAACAAATGAACTGAAGAAAAGATGAAAGAAAATAAGGCAAGAAGGTGGCTAGTAAAGGCCTGCACCAAGTTTTTGGAATTGAAGGTGGAGAATGAAGTGGGAAGTCCCAGTTGTTCTTTCCAGCCCTGCCAGGAAATGGTTTCTGCCTGAGATGTTAGAGACTGGGGACACCTCTGGTGACCAAGCTAGTGGTCATTTTTTGTGCCATTGCCCCAGTCCTAGACACCAACTGAGACAGAGTTCAACCTCCTGGGGATCCACTCCAGCCCCTTAGAGATCCAAATGATCTTACGTGATTCTAGAAGATTCTTAATCAGTCCTAAAGCATACTGAGGAACATGACTCAGCCCGAGACCCTCAGAACCACCCCAAATAATAAAGATATTAATAATAGTAATTAACAGTTATAAGTGCTTGCTGTGTGCATAATGTTAAGTACTTCCACATTTAATCTTCATAACAACCCCATGAGATTAGTACTATTTTTATCCCTATTTTACATTTTGGGAAACTGAGTCTTAGTTAAAGTCATTCACTCCAAGTATGAAGCAAGGAAGTAGCAGAGCTGGAATTCACACAGAAGACAAAAAATTTATGGTTTTAACCACTCCGTTTTACTAAGATGTCCCACTTTGTGGTAGAACACCCATGACCCTCAGTCAGCTTCCAGTCTCCTGTGGATTTAGAAGCAATATGACTGCCCCACACACCGTCACAGGAGAGACTAGCCATTTGGTAGAGTTGCCTAGTCCCCAGGCTTACTGAGGGAGTCCTGCCTGATGCAGTCTCCGCTCAAAGATGCTCCTTCCCATCAGTCCAGTTTGAAAAACATTAGCAAAAGCCTGTGAGTTGCCAGGCCTGGTGCTAGATGCTGGTGGGCAAAATGAAAAATAAAACACAGGGTTTGCCCTAGAAGTACAATCTAGCAGAGGTGGACAGCTGCACATATAGGAACTTTTACTATAATAAGTGAAGGTGAGGGCAGAAGGTTGTGGGAACACGAGGAAGGCAATGAGCCAGCTTGGGGATTCAGGAAGGCATTCTAAAGGAGGTGATCCCTGAAATGAGTCTTTAAGCATGAGTGAGCTTTAGTCAAAAAAAAAAAAAAAAAAAGAAAAGAAAGTGGGAAGGGCATTCAAGTCAAAGAGAACAGCCCAAGCAAAGACACGGAGACATGGAAAAGCCCTCAGTGTGCATGGGATTACAAGGAGATCAGTGTGAGGCAGGAGGGGCAGAAGACGAATGTCCAGAAGCCTGGACACACAGGGAGGACTCAATTCACAGCAAGTCTTACATGCCAGGCTGAGAAGACGGGATTTTATCCTAAGGGCAGTGAAAAGCCAATGATAGGATTTCAAACAGGAGAATGACACGGTCTGATTTGTATTTCAGAGAAACCAATTTGGCTAAAAGGTTTAGGACGGCTGTAAGACGGACAAGACGAGAGCAGGACGATCAGTTAGAAATCTACTAGAAACAGAAGAGCCACAGACAAAGAGGTGGGCCTAGGGTATATTCTGCATATGATGACCCTCTGTCCCATTCCTCTTCCTCAGCTGAACTGATGCCCTGGCTTAGCCCACAGCCTCTCATTTCTTTCCTGGATTATTTTCCTAACGCCCCCAGGGCCATCTGCAAGGTGTCTGTGTCCTCAGCAGTAGCTCCTGACATCTTTTAATATCACTGGCAAATTT